ATGGACGCCGCTGCAGCTGCTGCTCCTCCTCTGCTCTTCATTGTTTTCTGCGGCATGAACTGCTGTTGTTTGCCTTGGAGCCAGCAGAATATGGACTGAACCCTCCAGTAACTGTGAGCTAAATAAACCTTTCCTTCCTTCATTTTGAGTGTTGGGTATTTGGCCCAGCAACAAGTAAAAAGTAACTAAGACAGAGCTATTAGTATTTGTTTTCATGCATGCATAGATGTGTAGATGACATAAGGTAAGCTTTGGCTACAGTGAGCAGACCTCAAGCAGAAGTATCAAGTGCTGATGTTTAGTCAATCTCTTCCCAAGAGTCTACATAAGGAAGTTCAGTGGAATTCACATTTTTTCCCATTTTGGAACTTTTCAGGAATTTACTGGAGAACAGATTTATCAAAACTAACTAGTGGGGGCCAGCCAGATAGCTCAGCATAAAGCATCTTCTTAGGCAGACAGAAGGACCAGGATTTGATCCCCACTGTGCCGTGCCACTTCCATCCCCCAGGGCACAATGAAACATGCCTGTAATCCCAACACTTGGGAGGCTGAAAAACAGTAAGGATTACTATGAGCCCAATCTGTGTAGAGACCCTGTCCTAAATAAATTACAAAACAGCCCACTAACCAGGGGTAGTAACATCTAATCCTGAGGCCCTGCTAACAGAAAGGACAAAAATGCTATACTAGATAGACAGGCTAGTCCAAAAGCCTTACAATTTGGGGAACTGTAGTTCTAGCAGCAAAAACATGGATCAAAAACTCAAATGCTGCTTTATAGGTGAACAATGATCTACGAGAATTCACAGCTCATGAGTTGACAACAGAGAAAAAGACTGTTCAACTTGTATTTCCCCTTAACACACCGGCCAAACATACAGAGACATGTACAATAAAGTTGAGTGCTCCTCAGGGCTGCAGTGGCACAGAATTTTCTAGAGGATTGTTGTTTGGTTCTGTATACAAGGAAAACTGAAAACAGTGAGATTACACATCACAGACTGCTACAGGAGAGACACACTCCTTACTTAGAGGCTGCTGCTGCTTTCAGCCCATGGGCACTTACTTCCCTTCCTATGGAGCGTGAGGACTAACTTGAACATCCCGTAGGCTTTTCATAAAGCAAAAGGACTCCTTCCAGATGCAAAGCGCTGCAAATCTGTTAGCATGAGTTAGGAAAACCTTCATGGAAACTTATAATTTGTGGCCCTGTCTACTACTAAAGAAAACACAATTTCCTTAAAAAATACAAGTTATAGAGGTGAAAATTGGGGAATTTCTTTTTTCCCAAGCCCTTCTACTAAGTGGCCTTCTAATTTTCTGTCACTCTGTTGATTTTGTTCAGAATTTCCAACTTTGTTTCATCTGGTGTCTGCAGATCACTACTCTGGACTAACTCTTACTGCAGTCAAGAGAATAATTTCAGTAAGAGCACTACAATCAGATCTTTCTGGTGTTTTAAATATTTCAAGTTCAGTATTTGTGAAATATGGCTAAAATACCATAAATCAAAGGGAACTAACAAGAGGTTAAGTACTCTGAAATCTATAGCTAAAAAATCCACACACCTAAGGATGGGGAGCAGCTGGAGCTAAGAGGAGAAAACATCTAATCACAGAATGCCACCTGATGCACACAGCCCTCAACTATTCCTGAAGGCAAGTGAAGGCTCACTGAACTGAGATACATAACAACAAAAAGAGAGGAGTCTAAATTAAAATTTACAGGGTGGATTTTTCTATTAATATTTAGGGTAGGATGTGGAGAAGAGAAAGCCCAAGTTACATTAAGCAGAAAACAGAGCAAATTAAAATAACTTACACTTTATTAAGTGAGATGTTTAATTGCATCTAGGTATTTATATTACTTTAATGGTACTCTAAATTGTACATGTATGTCATTATGTTTGCATTAATAATATTTAAGCTTAACTTTTTTAAAAAATAAGATATTTTGCTGATTTAAAATTCAACATAGTTGGCTGGGCATGGTGGCACAAGCCTATAGTTCCAGCACTTGGGAGGCTGAGGCAGGAGGACTGCTATTAGTTCAAGGCCAGACTTAGTAATAAAATGAATTCAAGGCCAGCTTGAATGGCACAGTGGAAAGAAAAGACATTAATACATACATACATACATACATACATACATATATACATACATACATTCAACATAACTGAGGCAAAGATACATTTTACCTGTTTATTTTTAAGGATCATCACAACAGAAATTTTACCCAAAGGCATGATGAGAAAAACATATAACTGGAAGACAAAAATAAAAGTATAATTTGACCTTGTTTAGCACATTAGACATATTTCTCACAACTACTGTACCGCTGTTTCTTTAAAATGCCAGTAGAAGGGCAACTACTGAAAATAAAGTAAAATTTTGGTATTTAAATTTCCTTTCTAAGGATAACATATGCATAACTCCTCTGTTACCAAAACGGAGTTAAGGTCATTCCTGAGGTACAGGGCTTTTCATAGAAAGAACTAACTAAAGAGCACCTTGCTCTCTGAGAACACCTTCCCATTCACCTTTCAAGCCGACTTGAGCCTTAAGAGAAAGTAAAAACATGAATCATCAAGTCCATTCATTATTGTTTTCAAGTAAAAAAGTAAGAAAATGCAAAATTCCTAGAAAACATAAGGTTTCTGGTTTACTACCAGCCTTTAATATGACCCTTTCTCAGTTAATTCACAGTTCAATGTTAGTCGTCTTTGACATAATGACATCATACAAGGTACTTGATTTTGTTCTGAATCTGAAAGTTGTTTTATCACTTTTACCATTTAATTCCCAAAGACTGATTCTTCTAAAAGGCAGAAAATTGTATATTACTAATATTTTTCTGATAAATGTAAGAAGGTATATTTGGTTTTGGACAGCAGTTGTATAAACTGTATGAAAAGTGTGTATGTTTGTGTATGCGTGTGTATGTGTGTAATGAGTGGAGCTGATCTAAAAATGCAACCTATTTTTAAAAAATAGGTTGTAATGGTTACTAAGAGTGTGTCAACTTGAGAACTTAAAAGCTTAACTAAATTGGCTCAGCAATTCCATACCCTAGGGTGACTCAACACTTAAGAGGACATAAAAGGGAATTTAGGAAGGTTGGTGCTTTCCTTTTTACTTTCCTTTTCCTCGGAGGAGCTGTGGTCTTCAGTCAGCTTGGACGTCATCTCCTGGCTCTAGTGCAGACTCTTGGAACTCCACCTTCAATCCTTCAGCCTTCTGGTGTAGACTCATCAGCCTTCCGTCGCAGACCCATCGGCCTTCTGACACAGACTTGCAGGAAACACGGCAGTGAGCTCCAGGCCTTAGACTGAATCCTTCAGTCTCCAGTATGCAAACACCCTCTACATGCTTCCTCATCAACTCTGTGGCTGACCATCATAAGCCAATCTTGTAATTTCTTATTCATTTGTACACCTTGTGTTCTTTCTGTTGCTCTGGTAAAAACCTTGATTGATACACAAGTGTTTGTAGTTCATGCTTTCTGAGGGTTGTTATAATGATCGAAGGGGTGTATTAATAATATAAAGTGTGATATAAGTAAGCACTAAGAGTAATAAGGAAAATAATTTGAAAATTCACATTCTAAAATTGTAATCTATTTGGCCCCAGAGAATATAATCTACCAAGGTGTTATGTTTATAAAGATTATATACAAATGAGTTTTTTCACAACTTTTCCCATTACATTTTTGACACTTGATTGTAGACTTAGTAGTTGAAACTCAAGTGTGAGGCTTATTGAAGAGATTATTTTTATTACTGCACTTTCTTTGGAGGATAAATCCATAGAACCAGGCTGGCCCTCTTCTACACTGAGATAGTAGCTATGTGTCATCTGCAGAATAACTCTGAAATGGATTTCACTACAGCTTCTTCTACCCCTTTTTACCAAACATCTTTCAGGGAAAAAAAATCTTTTCATCCCCTTGAAAGGATGCTAGAGAATGTGATATGCAGTATTAGAACAGTGGGCACCTATAGATGTTGCCAACATATACCTGAAGTAATACTTCTAGTAAGATAAAGCAGCCAAAAAGTCAGTTCCTGAGTGTTAATCATTACAGATTCCTGATGAACAATCTTCATTGCTTTTTATTTTCTATTCCTTTCCTCATATTTCAATGTCACCCATACGCTCCCTGTACTTTTTTTCCAAATGCAGCCTATGAGGTTTTCTTCCTGAAGAGTTACTTTGAGATGAATGATGAGTACTTATCTGAACTTGCAAAAAGTAGCATCTTTAAACATGGCCCATAATTTCTTGGGCATGTATTTTCCCACAATCTCTACAACAATAAGAGAAAGCCCCTCACACTTTAAAATGTTAACTTTAAATTATAATTAGTTGCATCTTTAAATTTTTTAAATGTTCCATTACTATGAAGCACATCAAAATAAAATTTTATCAAGAGGTATATAATTCCAAGCATTAGGATAAAACAGACCCATCTATTTAAAAGACTATAATTAACATGAGCATTTACTCTGACTAAGCAGATTGGCATTCAGAGCAAGCAGATGATACGAACTAGGTTTTAGCAAATTTAAACAAATCACAGCATATTTTACATAATGACAATAATAGCACTCAAAACTCACCGAGCAATTTTATGCTTTCTGTACAGATAAAACTAATGGATTTGCCATTTCTGTGGTGTCCAAAGAGAGGAAATAGGATTTTTTCATTTATAAAAAGAAAAATGAATACCTGACTTGATGGACAAGGTTGTACAGTGGGCATATATGATGGAAACAGCTTGGTTATAAAATTTAATTTTATAAGATATCATTTTGGATTCTTTTTAAAAGTAGGATCTCATATTTAGGGAAAGCAACATCCTCCCTATTTGGTACAAAAGCAAGGTCCTACTCATCTAAAAAATACTAGGGAGTGCAGACACAAAAAAAAGAACAAGGAGAGTAGTTTGCCTTGTTTGAAAAGCAGCAAATATCCATAGCAGATAGATTATGGTTTCTAGTGCTCACTGCAGCATATACGTTAAAACTGAAATAACACAGAGAAGATTAACATAGTCCCTGTGCCAGGATGACATGCAAATTTATGAACCACTCTGTATTAAAAATAAATAAATGAAAGACTCTGGACTCTAATGACCACCACTTATTGGAGAAATTGCTGCTTCCAATGGCAGGGAAAGATAGCAGATAGCACCAAAATCACAGACCACTGCTGTACCTTAAAAGGCCCAGCAGCTACCTTGAAGAAGTGTCTGTGGGCTACAGGGTGAATAAATGAACATGAATAATTCTAATGGAGAGATACACATAAATTCATGACTATATTGGTAATACACGTTGCTTTTTAAAAACTAGTAAATAAATGGAAAGGATCAAACATCCAGACTTTCTTATATATAATGCAGCTGACATAAAAACTCTTAAAATAATGGAATAAAAAAGGAAAAACAGAATTAGAAATATACCATTTTGTAATTGAGTAGATACTGATTATAATGACTAACTTTAAAAACAAAACTCTGCAGGAAAAAGATTTATAATGGAAATTCACATCACTACTTATAAAGAATTTTTAACAAAACAATTTGATTCCATCTCATTGAAGACTATCACCAAAGCTGTTCTCTCTCTCTCCTCAATAAAGTATGTCTCCTGTTTTACTCATTCTTTATAAGGTCCTAATTCTTAAATCTGTCTGTTTCTATAACTCCAATTAACAGAATGTGAAAGTGACACTGTGTAGCTTCCAACGTTAGCCAAGAGAAGTCTTACATTTCTGCCCTGGACTCTCATGTGCCCACTGACATAAGTCAGAAAGCATGTAAGAAGTCTGACTGCCTGATGAAAAAGTGCACACTAGCCATAGGGAGAAGTCACAAGGAAAGAGAAAGGATTTCAAAGTTTCTAGTCACTCCAGTCTTCCCAGGTGGGTACCAAACAGGTAAGTAAAACGTCTTAGGAGACCCAACTTCAGCATCATCTCACTGCTATCTCAAATGGAACATCAAGTAAGAACCAGCCAGCTGAGACCACCCATTCACCTTCAGAACTACAAGAAAGAATAAACTTATTTTAAACCACTATGATTGTTATTTCTATAAAGCAACAGATTAATAAAGTCTAACCACCAATATATGAGAAATACATAAGCCCTGTCAAATGAAACCACTAAGAAACAAGGAAAGGGATGGGAAACCTATCAGTAATAATAATTCTATTTATAGGAACCTTAACTATAGAGTTTCATGAGATCTTAGTTCCATGAAATTTCTTTAAAAAGTGATTTTGAAAGTTATGAGACAAGAGATAACTGAGTAAGACCAAACATTTGCTATTAAGAAATAATCATTAAATAATTTAGATATGATTTTTTTTTTTCAGAACTGGGGATTGAACTCAGGCCCTTGCACTTGCCAGAGAAGTGCTTATTCCACGGAGCCATCTCCCCGGCCCCCTAGATATGATATTTTAAGATAGAATCCTTAACTTTTTGGGGGGAGTGGTGTTACTGGGGATTAAACTCAGAACCTTGCCCTTGCCAGGCAAGTGCTTATGCAGCTGAGCTATTCCCCCAGCTAGAATCCTTAACTTTAAAGATACAAACTAATATTCATGTATATTTGTGGATAAAATATGATATGGGGGAGTTGGGGTACAAATGAAGCCAGATCATGAGGTTTTTCTTTAAATTGGTATATGTCTCATACATAATAATTGTATTTGTTTTGAAAAAATATGTATTTTTTTATCTTGAACATTTTAGTACTTTGCCCACCCTCCCCTTGCCTTGCCCCACTTCCTGACAACTTGCCCGTCTCCAAAAGTCTGCTTTCTTGTTTCCTAACCTATCTCCTTTTTATAACACTCTCTATATTTTGGGTTCTTCATATAAAGTCATGCAAGATTTAACGTTTTGTGTCTTAATTCACTCAGCATTATGTTCCCCAGATCCTTCCATTTTTCTATAACTCGTGTAAATTCATTCTTCTTTGAGGCAAAGTAAATTTTCATTGTGTATACATAGCACATTTTCTTTAACCATTCGTCTATTGGTAGGTACCTAGTCTGTTTCTGTAGTTGGCTAATATGAATTGGATTGCTACAACCATACTGTACCACTACTGAATGATGTCTTTCATTCTCTGAGAAAAATATCAAGATTACTTAGAGCTAGGTCAAACGGGATTTCCACTTTTAGCTTTGGAGAACTCTCCATACTGATTTGCATAGTACTAGTTTACACTTCCATCAACAATTAGAAGGGTTCCTTTACACTCCACATAATTGCCAGCATTATTTTTTCCTGTACGCATGTGTATGTTCTCAGTGATAGCCACTCTTACTGTATTCAAAAGAAATCTCAAAATTGTTTTGTATGCCCCTATGGTTAAAGATGCCTCACTTTCTTCATGAAATTATCAGCCATTTGTACTTCTTTTGATAAGTGCCCATGCATTTACTTTGCCCATTTTTTTATTGATCTTTTGTTTGGGTGGATCTAATGTGTTGAATTCTTTATATAATAGAGAGATTAATCCTCTTATGCAAAGACTAGCTCACAAAAAATTTTCCCCTTCTGCAGATTGTCCCTTCATTTTGTTGATTGCTGCCTTTAGTGTACCTTTTTAATTTAACATAATCTTATGTTTATTCTTGGTATTATTTCTTGTACTATTGCAGTAATGTTCAAGAAGTCTTTGCCTTTGCCTATGGCTTCAAGTGTTTCCCCTAGTTTATGTTTCAGTGGTTTTTTTTTTTTTATTTAGGTCTTTGATCCACTCTGATATTTTAGTACGTAAGTCTAATTTCACTTTTCTGCACAAAACTAGTTTTCCTAGTACTATTGGTTATCTTTTTTCTAGAGAATGTTATTGCCCCTTCATCAAATCAGATGGCTAAAAAGATACATGGGGTTAGTTTTGTGTCTACTGTTCTATGCCACTGGCTTACATATCTATTTTTGTGCCAATGTCATGCAGTTTTTATTACTATGACTTTGTAGTATAACCTGAAATTTGAGATTTGTATGCTTCACACTTTATTCTTTTTAATCAGGATTGCTGGCTATTCAGGGTCTTTTCTGATTCTATATAATTTTATGATTGTTCTTTCTATTTTTGTGAAGAATGCTGGTATTCTGATAGGAACTGCATTAAATTTACATATCACCTTTAGTAATGTGGCAATTTTCTCCCTATTCAGGAACCAGAGTTGTCATTTAATTTCCAAAAATCTAATCTCTTCCCTCAGGTACCACAGTTTTCACTTCAGGGTACCACAGTTTTCTTTGGTTAGCTTGGTTCATTGGTATTTCACTTTTTCAAGCTACCATAAATGGATTGTTTTCCTGGTATTTTTTCACTGGAACCATCACTGGCTATTGATTTTTGTACACTGATTGTGTATCTTGCCATTTTGCTGAATTTATTCACTCTATAGGCTATGAGTTTAAAGTGTTAAAACTACAAGTTCGTTTTTTATCTCCATAACTTTTACATATATTTTAACTTTCCATAATAAAAATGTGCCTGCTTTGTTGAACCATTTGGTCTTTTTTTTTTTTTTAAGTATGTCACAAACTTAAAAACCAATGGTAGCAGAAAGGAGGTATGATAATAATAATCCTTGTCTTATTAAGTTTTTTTAGCCAAAATAATTTCATATCTTCATATATCCAAAATGATACAGATACTTAGTTCTATTTTCTCTTCCTGTCTATAAAATTAAGGACCATAGGTATCTGACTCCACCACACACAGAGCTGAGTGGGTTGTGATAACTTACTAAAAATGTTTTGAAACCATGCTTAGCTATGCAGATGTAAAACATTTTTGGTAGTGAAGACTGTGTTGGCAAAATATGTGGCATATATGCAGTAAACTCTTTCAAAATCTGCTAACTCAGAACTTTATCTTTAATACATTTGGCTTCATAAACATTTTAGATGAGTGAGCAAATAGGAAGAAAAGGTATAGAGATTTTTACTGCAATAATTTTTGTCTTTGATCCTACATATTTTTAAGAGACAACAGTGATCAACAAATTAATTTATCATGAACCTACCAGAACTATATGCTCAAACAACATATATTTCCCAGTACAACTGAATTTTCAGCATAGGCTTTAAGCTTTTATATGCAGGGTACATTATAGGTAAGTACTATTTACCTGATCAAATTGACTGCTGTGTGCTTTTGATTTTTAAACTGATGGCTAGAACAATGGAAGCCTGGTATTTAATATGTGCTGGTCAAGTGAGCAATAAACAATTGTGAAGTTTCCTGGGGGCTGTTCTGTTCTATCTCATCATCAGTAAGATAAAGCATATGTTGAATGTTAGCCTGGGCGGACACAATGTGTCCTATTTATTCAGGTTTCTTTTGAAGCCACAATTTATAAGTTTTGTTTCTTAGGGGTACATGTCAAACTTCATTTAGCATTAGCTGGTATCCAGATACACTGAATAGCAAAAAGGCAGCATTTGAGGGCAAAGAAAAAAAAATGTTTGCTATAAGAGCAATAATGTCAGCTTCATTTATGTAACTCACAGAAAACAAGAGGAGATATACAATGAGAAAGCTGACAGGAAATCAAGAGTAAGACCATTCTTTTTGGTGGGGAAGGGGAAGTCCTTTTGATACATGGTTTTATTATGCAGTTCAGGCTAGCCTTCAACTCAACTTTGTAGTCCAGGCTGGCCTCAAACTCACAGTGACCTTCTTGCCTCAATCTCAAGTGCTGGGATTACAGACATGCACCATGGCACCCAGCACCATTCATTTAATTTACAAGTGTAAAACTTACTATGAACATGGAGAACTGCTACAATATTGAAAAAACTCTTAAGGCAATTTCTAAATGGTAGACAGGTTATCTTTAAAAAAAAAATCTACCTTTTAATCCATAAACTTCAAACATTATACACATACCTAGACCATGTTCCTATGCATAATATTTTTCCCTAAAAATATTTGGCAAGTTTTTCTGGAAGAATACTCCAATTTTAGATGCATTAGCAAAATGCCTGTGGAACTGATTCTTTAACTTTAATACATCTTCATAGGAAGTCAAAATTTGGTAGACTGTAGAATACTGACCCAAAT